ATCCCAGAGTCTGTCTACTTATGGTTTCCATCATGACCTGGTTGGAGATCCGTCGGACTGGTCCGCACAGATGGCTGTGTTTCCCCTCTCCTTAATGTGAAAATAGAAAGAAACAAATCTTTTAATGAATCAAGTTATCACCCACACCCAGGCACGGGCTTCACGCACTATCAGTTGAATTTCTTTGTTTTAAAGGTCATCCCAAATTCACTTCAGCAGTGCTTGAGATAGGAGTCGCTTCACTTCAAAAGTGTTAATCTCATTTGAAAAGTGTTAATCTCATTTCAAAAGTGTTAATCAGCACTGCAAACATATTGCGAGTTTATTTTTTCCTCTATTGCCTCTTTTAAAAGAGATATTGGATATAACGTGTTCTCTCGGAGGATCCTTCTATAATATAATTATCATAATATAATATCCGACATTAATTATTATCATCAGTCTTGTACGTGGGGTACGGGCGTAATAGTTTCTTTTTCTCCCGAGATCTAGGTCAAAGACATTTGTGTCATGATGCGGTGGAATCAGGCGCTCGTCAATTTTTGGGCATGTTGAGTTATGGGTATTATCCTAAATCTTGTTTGTTTGTCCATCTTTCAATGAAAAAAATACGCATGTATAAAGCTATATATTATATTGAACAAAAGTCGAGACATTTGCACTTGAATGAGATGGGGGGTAATCTTGTTTCTGGGGTAAAATTAGCGAGAAAATGGCCGTCAAAGTTTGATGACTTCTAAAGCTTGAGAGCCTTGGAAACTGAAATGTTACATTTTCCTGTACTTTTATTCTATGTTTTCCAGCCAATTGCACACAGAAGTATGTTTTTTAAAAGGGGCATAAAAGGTGTTGAGTAAAAAAAAATAATTATATAGAATTGCCAAACCGGTGAAAAAACGCCAGTTTCTTCGATGTCATTATTTTGACGAGCGCCTGATTCCATCGCGAAGCCTCACATTTTTTATTTCCCAAAGGCTTGATAAAATTCCACCCTGTGATACAATTATAAAAGTGCTCCAAATACGTCCTTGTGACTGATCAAGAGGCTTGGTAACAAGAGTAGTGGGAGTGGTGATTACAAGGATAGCTGATAGTGGGGTTGCTGATAACGATGGTAATACGGCAGAGAAAAGGTGCCGGCATACGGCATTTATTGTTATGGTTAATTCAACTGACAAGTGAGTGCTCTCTCTCTCTCTCTCTCTCTCTCTCTCTCTCTCTCTCTCTCTCTCTCTCACACACACACACTCTTTCTTCCTCGTTTTTCTTTCTCTCCCTCATTCTCTTTTTCTAGGTCTCCATTTTTTTGTTCCTTCTTTTTCTTCTTTCTCCTTTTCGAACTTTTTAGATCTCGCGGTTTTTCTTTTTAACTTGATTTCCCGCTTTCTCCAGGTCCCATGCTATGACATGCAACGTTGCTCTCAGACCAGACACACTCGAGTTTTTTCTATCTCATTTACCCCATGTCTTTGTCTCTTATCACTCTTTCTCTCCCTTACTTCATTTCCTTGTCTCTTATCATTCATTTCTCTCCCTTACTTCATTTCCTTGTCTCTTATCATTCATTTCTCTCCCTTACTTCATTTCCTTGTCTCTTATCACTCTTTCTCTCCCTTACTTCATTTCCTTGTCTCTTATCATTCATTTCTCT